GCAGGTCGCTGCGGTGCTCGCAGGCGCCCCGCCGGTGATCCCAGGCCTGCGCATGCGGTCGAATCGTAAACCACTGTTGCGTTCGCGGGCACGCCTGGCGTTCGCGCGCATGATCACAACGCAACCCGCCCCGAAGCGCCCCACCCCGCCTGAACGTTACCGTTGGCCGGGGCCCCGAGCCCCCCCCACAGGCAACGACCATTATTAGGTGCGGCCCCCTCCGCCCGCTTCGCGCGCTTGCCCTGCGGACTCAAAGCGAGGACCCTGCACCACAGGACCGTTGGGAATGGGTGCCAGAAGAAGAGAATCATAACTATTTTGACCAAGCCTGTGAACTTGTATATTCAATTGAACGATGAACTGAATGCAATGATGTTGCAAGCCAAATAACCAGAAACCGGGTAAGTGCCGAAAACAAGAAATACAACGCATAAGACGAATTGCATTTCACGCGCACTATATTGGCACATGATTGCTGCTGCGCGCGCCTCTAAAGCAATATGGGTTTTACGTTGGATTCCAACGCGGGTCTGTTGTTATATAATGGGTTACGAAGCAAACGTTGCAATCCATATTCTGCCTATCTGAACCTGCGCGGCCTGGCGAAGCAGGGCGGCTTCAACGCGACGCCAGGGAGCGTCGTGGGCTCGAGCCTTTGGCCTGGGCGCACGCCGCGTCCGACTACCCAGATAATGGCGTTCTGCAACAGGTCACTGCGTTCTGGAGGGGCGCACGGACACGCAAAACACTGATCAGCTGAACGCGAGCTGGCGCCCACCTCGCCCTCGCGCCCCATTTCCCGCCTCCTCCAGATATTGTTTCGTGTTTTGCCTCAGCCTCCTCATGCCCCGTCGACTCCTATCTGTCCTCATCATGCTTCTCCTCCGCATTCGCAACTCCCCACTGTGCCAATTCATGTCGTTCCCCCTCGCCCTCCTCTGCAGGATGCTTTTCCCCGTCGTCCACGTCCCTGTCCTCCTCCCATCCTCTGCACCCTAATGCAGATCATGCGCCCTCCTTTTGCCCCCCCCGCCTTCCTCGTCCTCGCGATGCTGACACCGATTGTGCAACTCCCACTGGGCCCATGTCCTGTCGCTCTCATTTGGTCCCGTCGCCACCCCTCTTCTCGAACCCCTTCCCTCCCATGGCCCCGCATCCCCACCCCCCCCCCCCGCCTCTGCCCTCCCAGACAAGGCCCCGTCCTGAACCAGCTGGGAGATCCGCGGAAACCCCCACCCAGTGGCCAGTCCAGCGGGTGGCGCGCAACGCATGCAACGATAGACACAAAAAACGTGCAAAACGACCGCATGCAACGCCCTCCCTGGACCAGCCGAAAGAAGCGCGGAAACTTCCGCCCAAGATCTGTGTACACAGATCACTCCACGACCCGTGCCAACAGCGGACCCACACACGCACATACACAACTGAAGACACCACACCACTTGTGTACACAGATCACACCTTGATCTGTGCATTTTCGCGAAGAAAAAAAGTAAACGCTCGCCACCTCGAAGGCATCCCGACTTCGCCAACCCAGAGCCGAAGCCGACGTGCCCAGCCGGGAAGGCATGCAAATACACACTTCCATGGTCCAGGGCGGCCCCGAGGGGGCTGCAAATACAGACTTCCCGGACCCAGGGTGGCCACGGTGAAATGCGGCACCAAAGCGGCCACCGACGGCCCCAAAACGTCCCATGAGGGCCCCAAAGGAAACCAAGAACAACCCCGCAGCAGTCCGAGAACACGAGAGGTTTCACATGTCGTGGGCCTCTTAACACTTAGAGCTCCACGCGTCGCCATACATATCGCTGCGCTGGCAAGGGGGCGGACCTTACCGCAGCCACCCGAACACTTACATGTTAACGATGCGACTGTGCTTGGCGGCCTTTGCCGCCCGTGCTTGGAGTGCGCCCCGAGCGCTTGCATGTGCAATCCCATATGTTAGATTGCGCCGTTGTGCTCGGATGTCGAACGGGCGATGTATATGTATGTATATATATATATGTATTTATGTGTATAAATACATATATGTATACATATATGTGTATGTATATGTATAAATACATATTTATAATTATATAGACCTCGACATATACATATACAATATATATATACACACATCCACACTCACATCGATACATCTCTGCACATATATATACATATATATATATAAATGTATATGATGCAGTAACCCACCGCCAGGGACTCCACAACACTTTTTCGAACAAGGAGGACGGAGTAGGATGACGGACGGTGGAACAGGGAGACAAAGAGGAACGATTACTAATCAGAGAGGTGGAAAGGGGCGCTCTCCCGCCCGAGCCGCGGACGCTTTCGACACCATACAGGGGGGGAAGGGGGGCGGAACAAGGGGGAGGATGACGACGGGTAGCCAAATATCATCGGTCCGTATATAGCCATGTGCGTGCGATTGAGGCGCGCGCGCCCTCGTCAAGGCACTTCAACCCGACCCATACTGAATTCACAAATCCCCCGACTGTGTAAACACTCTGTCCTCTGTACCCCCTCCTATACAACTGCCTCGTCACCGGGGGGCAGCGGACTCCAAGATTTACACTCGCTTGTCGAATGGGGACCACTCGCCATCTCACCAGCGATGTGCGCATGGAGCCAACCACATATCTGCTCGTACCGATCATGTCATTCCCTGTTTTGCCGGGCCTGCTCTGGGGTCTGGGACAATGCTGGAAGGCCCTGCCCAAGGGCCAAACACAAATGCACTGTATCGCTAGCCCGACCAATGGCTCGCGCACGAAGCTGCCTGCGCCCTGCTTGAGAAGACGGGTGAATGTCTAATCCCACCAGCCCTCTAGGCGCAAGTGGTCTAACGAGATCGTTGCGCCCTCTTCCAAAAACCCGTCTTCCCCTTCGGGGAGTGGTCTACCCCCCCCCCATACCCCCACCCTGGACCTGGACGGGGAGGGCTGCACGGTGTCAGAGGGTCCCTGTTCGCCCAAGATTTCTCCAGGAGGGCCTTAGAAAGCCCATTGATAACCTCCAAGATCGCTCAAGATAACCCAACATGATCAAGATAGCTAACAACATGCCTCCAAGAGGCCCCAAGAGGGCAACAAAACTGTTCCAGGTGCTTTTGGCGCCCCCTCAGGATCTCCCCGAGAAGCCCAACTTCTTTAAACACACAAGACAATGATTGATTGTTGCCTTCTCCCCTTTTCGCTTCCGATGCGCTGTTGAGGCCTCATGATGGCCGTACGGCGGCCTAAGAAGGGCCGAAAAGGCCCCAAACTGCCCCAAGATCGTTCAAGATCGCCCCACGAGGGCCCCAGGAGGCTATTTCAATGGCGTTGGAGGGGGGAGGGGGGGGGGAATCGAGGACCCTTTTGATCCATGGTCTCCAAGATGGTTCCAGGAGGCGCCCCATAACACCCAAACAATATGGACCCCCCAAAAAACCCAAGACAACCCTAAGAAGGCCCCAGTACGGCCCCAAGACCCACCCCTAAAAGAGCTCTCAGAAGACCCCAAGACCCCCCGAAAAACCCCAAGAGGGCCCCAAGATACCCCAGAAGAGCTCCAAGAGGACCCCCATATCCTCCAATACAGCCCCGTAGCTGCAAGAAGGTCTCCACTGCTCTAAGGTAGCCCCCAAGATGGTTCCGCACCCTCCTTCCCCTCCTCCCCGTGCACGCGATGTTTCAATCTATGTGTCTCTTCGTCCCATCCCCCGTCAGCCCTCATTCATAAGCAGAGTTTCTGGATGGGCTGGTGGGGATTCGCGAAGGGTAAACAATTATCCAGATCAACCGTGAACGGCACCATTCCTAACAACAAGGCATCGCACTCGATGCTGTTATGCCCCTTGTGTTTCGTTTGGGATTTCGGTTCCTGCGTTCCTTGTGTAAGACGTTGTTCTCTGACTGCCTGAGTGTTTCTGCTAATTGATGGACTGCGTGCAAAGTCTGCTGAGAACCTAAAATGCACAGCTGCTGACAGAGCTTCCAAATTAGCGCCGTCCTGGTCCCCAAGGCCCCAGCTCTTCCTTGCTATGGCCCCAGTCCCCCACTGGGCCACCAAACCGCCCAGAGCCCCAACTGCTGCCCAAAACTCAATCCCGATATCTGGGACCGCCCAAACAACAACCTTTTGATATGGGGGCCTTCCGGGAACAGCCCATCACATTACAAGGCATCTCTAGCCCCACCCCTTGAAAACAAACATGTTTCACGGCGATTCGACCGCTGGCTACTGGTGAATATGCTGCTGGCGGCGCGCGCCCGAAGGAGGGGGGAAGCGGAAACGCAGAGGTAGGCGGATGCGGAGGAGGAGGTGAAGGAAGAGGAGGGGCAGGACGACGAGGAGGAGTTTTCACATGAGTGGCCAGGCACGGAAACGAGTGCCGAGCGGCACGGCGCGCCCGCGCGCGCGGCGCCCATTCGGGCAGTGGGCCGGCGGCCTCAGCCTCCGTCCTGTTGGCGGCCCCTAGGCCTGTCAGTCTGACGGCTGCTGCCAGGGCCCAGGGCCCACCGCGCTGGCAACGCCCACTGCTCCGCGGGCACAACTCCGCGTTGGCTACCAGGCAGAGCTCAGCGTTCTTGTAGCAAGGCGGGGCTCCCTCGGTGCACTGCAAAAGCCGCGCCACCGCGCCGCCGACGACGAAATGATTGTTGAACTCATACTCTTCGCCTTCTGGGCCCAAGCCACGCGCGTGGTCGCTCTCGCCGCGCATGGGGAGCTCGGCCAATTACGCGGATCCGTCGTGGAAGTGGTCGTCAGGAGCCGAGATCCCTGGAGCGGAAAATCAAGTGCCACCCAAGCATCCCGATCTCAGCGGGAGCCACTAGGCCGAGAAACAGCAAGGGGATGAAAACTGCCACACGTGTAAGACTAGACGTCTCTGCGTCCACTGCTGACTACTGTTCATGCATCAACTCGGGGTTCTGCTGCTGTCTCGCGCGCCTCTGCGCGCGCTGGCTGGGGGCTGCGCGCGCGGCCCCCCGCCGCGCCAAGACCTCCTGCACGTCGCTGGTGCTCTGCTCCGTCGCGTAGGGCATAGGTGCACAGGTGGCTGCCCTGGTTCCCCGCAGTGCTCTGCTGGTTGCCGACGGCCCCCTGCGCGAGCGTGCCCGTGGGGCTGACCTTACCACCCTTGATGCTCACCTCCGCCTCGTCGATGCGCAGCGTCTCGCCGTGGTCGTCGCGACGCCAACCAGAGCGGTGCCGTTGCGCTCCTGCGTCTTGACTATGTTCAGGTGCCTGCCCTGGTCGTGCTCGGTGCTGTCCTGGTCCCCGTGCGCCCCGTGAGCGTCACAGTTGCTCTGCTCATGTTCTGCAGAGTTCAACTGGCCCTCCCCGGCGCCGACCTCAAGCTCCTCCGTCCTTACTTTGGAGCCCAAGGCCAGGCACGGGAAGGTGAGAAACTCCGCGAGCGGGGCGCACCCCATGTCCCCTGCGCGCTGGGGAGGGTGGCCTCGCCGCCGCACCGCTGCGCTCCTGCAGCTCCGCCAGGGCCTGCTCGAGCTCCAGGACCCTCTGGCTCTGCTCGTGCGACCTGTGGGAGAGCTCAACTGCCTCGCACTCACTCTCATGGACCTTCAGCTCCAGCACGCTGCTCCTCACACGTGTCCGCCAGGAACTTCTGGTAGCGCTGGTCTGCCGCCCGTAGCTCGAGGACCTTCTCGGTTAGGAGCGCCGTCGTGTTTGCTTTCTCTTCGAACCTCCCTTGGCTCGCTTCGTCTTGCTCCTGCCCGATGGTGCCAGAGTAGGCGTCCGCGGCCTCCATCACCTTCTGTAACAGGCCCCTGTCGGGATGGGCCAACGCCTGCCGCCTTGCGTCGCCACCCACCGCCTGGCCAACTCTGGCTGAGGCTTGGCCAGGGCTCGGCGTATCTCCTCTAAGGTGGCCTTGCGCCCTAGGCCCAGCTTCTGCCCAGCGCCCCTGAGGCCCTCGTCAAACCCGTCGAGGACGCTGGCATCTGGGTCGTCGGAGGCCAGCAGCTCGATCAGCCGTGCTGCCTCTTCCACCGTCCTGCAATACGCAACGCTGTGGCCATGCCGCACCGCGACGCCACGAGCACAGGAGCGACCCATGGCGGAGTTCCGAAAGCGCGGCCGCCTGGGAGTGCCGTGCAGAGTGAGAGAAACTGGGAACCCCTGATCCCACCCTCTCGAGCCCAATTGGCTACGGAGGAGGAGGTAGGGAGGGAGGGGGCGGCACCAGGGAGGCTGGGGGGGGTGGCGCCAGGGGTGGAACGGCGGCAGCAGGGACGACGGCAACGACGGTCAGCGGGACAGAGCGAGCGCGCTTCGCCAGGGCCCCGCGCCTTGCGCTCCAGCATCTGGGACTCCGCCTGCACCTGGTCCCTCCGGGACACCTCTTCGGCGAGCGCCCTCCTCCCATCCGTTCCTCCGCCACCCTTCCTCTTCCGACCTGCTCGATGTGAGGTCCCTCCTCGCATCCCTGCCCCTCCCACTCCCCCGCCCCCCCTGTGCCCCCTTCTCTACCTCCCTCCCTCCCAGACCTCCCCATGCAACCCGCCCCGGGTCCCCTCATCTCTCTCTGGCCATCCCTTCTCCTTCCCCTAACCTCCCTCCCTTTGACTTTCCTCCTTCTGCCCCTTCCTCTGCACAATGCCTCCCCCAGCACTCCCTCTCCTCCCCTCTCTCACCCCCTCCCGCTCCCTCCCTCCCTCCAACTCTCTCTCTCTCTCTCTCTCTCTCCCTCTCTCTTCCTCACTCCATCCCTCCCCATCCCTGTCCCGGCCTACCCCCCATCCACGTCCCTCCTCCATCTCTCCCTGGATCCACCATCTTCCCCCCGAGGCTCGAAATTGAGTGTCCTCAGGCCCCTACGAACTATCTGTGCTGAGAACCGCGGAATGCACCTTAAGGGGCCCATACACCCGAGATCCAGGCACCCTTGGGCGCTCCATGGGCTTCCCACGTGACCATGCCCGAGGCCCTGGGAGCATGGCCGCGGGTCTCAACCTCCAACGTGCTCCATGAGCCCCATGGGTTCGTCCTGGGGCTCTCTTGGGGGCCTCGTGGCTCGTCTCAGAGACCCTGGGGGCAGACACAGAAAACAAACATCACTAAACGCCTCAGGCGTTCGTGCGATTTCTGGATACTCGCCCACGACGACCAGAGATGCCAGACAGGCACCCAAGAGAGTAGACACACCACGGCCCCAAACACCCCCGAGAGGGCCCGAGAAGCTCCGAAGATGGTCCCACGAGGGGGATCCCGACCTGACATTTCGGGCCCTTCCCTCCCCGACGGCCCCCAAGATCGCCAGCAGACCTCAGAGAGGCCCCCAGGACAATCTCAAGAAGGCCCCAAGACGTCCCAGGTGGCCCAACGAAACTCCCGAGACGCTTCAAAATACCTACACGCTGCCCCCCAAAAAGCTTCCAAGGGGCCTCCCTGCGGCCTGCCAGGAGATCCCGCAGGCCTCCAGAAGACCACGTGTCCACGACCCGACCCAGGCACGATGGCGGGATGGGCCGAAGGCCACTGGATCCGCCGCCCCCTGTCGATTCATCGCAAGGGTGCCTGGCGTGCTAGACCTCTCGGTTTTGGTTTTGGTTCTTTTTCCAAAAGAACTCCCCCTGGCGCTTCGGCCCGTCCCGCCAGGGTCCCGGGAGGATTGCCCAGGACCGCAAACTCCACGAACAATGCTCCCTGAAGGCGGCCCAAGATGGCCTCCAAGTCCGCCCAAGATGGTCCAAGACGGCCTCCAAGACGGCCCAAGAGAATCCAAGACGGCCCAAGACAGCCCAAGAGGCCCCCCAGAGGCCTCCCAAACGGCCCAAGAGGCCTCCAAGAGGTCATCCAGGAGGGCCCGAAGAGGCCGAAATCATTGATTTGTCTTAGGTGTTTGAAGGATTTTGGAATGTGCTTCTTCTCGGCATTCCGACGGCCCGAGACGGCCCAAGAGGCACCCAAGAGGGCCCCATGACGGCCCAAGTGGCCTCCAAGACGGCCCCAAGAGGGCCCAAGAGACCTCCAACACGCCCAAGATGGCCTCCAAGACGCCCAAGATGGCCTCCAAGACGGCTCCGAAGCGCCCCAAGAGGGCCCCAGTCGGCCCAGAAAGGCCTCCAAGACGGCTCCAGGCGGCGTCAGACGTGCCAGGAACCCACCAAGATGGCCGAAGTTGGCTCGAAGCTGGCCCAAGACGGCCCAAGAGGCCCCCAAGAGGGCCTCCAGGAAGGCCAGAAGAGGCCACAAACATTGATTTTCCTAAAAGTTTTCGACGGATTTTGACATGTCCTTCTTTTCGGCCTTCCGACGGCCCGAGGCGGCCCAAGAGCCCCCAAAGATCGCCCAAGAGGCCTCCAAGATGGCCCCAGAACGGCCCAAGAGGGCCCCAAGACGGCCCCAAGAGGCCCCCAAGACGGCACAGGAGGCCTTTAAGGCGCCCAAGATGGCCTCCAAGACGGCCCTGGAGCATTCCAAGAGGGCCCCAAGTCGGCCCATAGAGGCCCCCCAAACGGCTTCCGACGACGTCATACGGACAAGGAGCCCACCAAGACGGCCGAGCATGGCCCTAAGATGGCCCAAGACGTCCCAAGAGGCCTCCGAGAGGGCCCCCAGGATGGCCCGCAAAGGCCACAATCATTGACTTCCCATGGGTGTTTGAAGGATTGTGGCATTTGCTTTTTGTTCTGCCTTCCGACTGCCTGAGACGGCCCAAGTGCCCCCAAAGATCGCCTAAGATGCCCAAGACACTGCCCCAAGAGGCCCCCAAGACGGCCCAAGAGGTCTCCAAGACGCTCAAGGTGGCCTCCAAGACGGTCCAAGAGCCCTCCAAGACGTCCTCCGAGAAGGCCCGACAGAGTCAAAATGGCCTCCAGGCGGCCAAGATGACCTTCAAGATGCCCACGTGTTCCCCGAAGGCTTTCCAAACCGATTCGGGGAACACATGGTCCGATAGCTTGGCAGGTCTGGCCTCAACGTTCGGCCACATAGGCGCTTCCAAAAAGGCAGAGGGCGGCGGTGATTCGCCGTAGGCGTCTTCGATCCGCCGCCCCCTGTCGATTCATCGCAAGGGTGCCTGGCGTGCCGAATCCTGTCGGTTTTGATTTTGTTTTTTTTCCAAAAGAACTCCCCCTGGGGCTTCGGCCCGTCCCGCCGGGGTCCCGGGAGATTCCCGAAAACCCATCCGTCAATGCCTGTGTTGCCCCAAGTTGGCGCAAGATGGTCTCCAAGACGGCCAAGATGGCCTCCAAGACAACCAAGATGGCCTCCAAGACGGCTAAGATGGCCCCAATATGCATCCAAGACGGCCCAATATGGCCTCAAGATGGTCTAAGACTGCCCAAAATGCCAGCAATAGGCCTCCAAGACGGCCCAAGAGGCCTCCAAGAGGTCCTTCAGGAAGGCTCGACAAGGCCAATATCGGTGATTTTCCTTTTGTTTTTGAAGGATTTTGGCATTTGCGCCCTTTCGGCTATCCGACGGCCCAAGACGGCCCAGGAGGCTCCCAAGATCGCCCCAAGATCGCCCAAGAGGCCCCCAAGAGGGCCCCATGACGGCCCCAGACGCCTCCAAGACGGCCCCAAGAGGGCCCGCAGACGGCCCTAGAGGCCTCCAAGACGCCCAAGATGGCCTCCAAGACGCCCAAGATGGCCTCCAAGACGGCCCCGAAGCGCCCCAAGAGGGCCCCAAGTCGGCCATGAAAGGCCCCCAAGACGGCTCCCGACGGCGTCAGACGTGCCAGGAACCCACCAAGATGGCCGAAGTTTGCTCGAAGCTAGCCCAACACGGCCCAAGAGGCCCCCAAGAGGGCCTCCAGGAAGCCAGAAGAGGCCACACACATTGAGCTTCCTAAAAGTATTCGATGGATTGTGTCATTTCCTTCTTCGGCCTTCCGGCGGCCCGAGACGGCCCAAGAGCCCCCAAAGATCGCCGAAAGATCGCCCAAGATGGCCTCCAAGATGGCCCCAGAACGGCCCAAGAGGGCCCCAAGACGGCCCCAAGAGGCCCCCAAGACGGCACAAGAGGCCTTTAAGGCGCCCAAGATGGCCTCCAAGACGGCCCTGGAGCATTCCAAGAGGGCCCCAAGTCGGCCCATAGAGGCCCCCCAAACGGCTTCCGACGGCTTCAGACGGACCAGGAGCCCACCAAGACGGCCGAGCATTGCCCTAAAATGGCCCAAGACAGCCCAAGAGGCCTCCAAGAGGGCCTCCAGGAAGGCCCGCAAAGGCCAAAATCATTGATTTCCCATGGGTGTTTGAAGGATTGTGGCATTTGTTTTTTTTCTGCCTTCCGACGGCCCGAGACGGCCCAAGTGCCCCCAAAGATCGCCCAAGAGGCCCAAGACACGGCCCCAAGAGTCCTCCAAGACGGTCCAAGAGCCCTCCAAGACGCTCAAGGTGGCCTCCAAGACGGCCCAAGAGCCCTCCAAGACGTCCTCCAAGAAGGCCCGACAGAGTCAAAATGGCCTCCAGACGGCCAAGATGACCTTCAAGATGCCCACGTGTTCCCCGAAGGCTTTCCAAACCGATTCGGGGAACACATGGTCCGATAGCTTGGCAGGTCTGGCCTCAACGTTCGGCCACATGGGCGCTTCCAAAAAGGCAGGTGGCGGCGGTGATTCGCGTCTTCGATCCGCCGCCCCCTTATGATTTGTCAAAGGGGTGCCTGGCGTGCCGGACGATATGGCTTTTGGTTTTGGTTCTTTTTCCAAAAGAACTCCCCCTGGGGCTTCGGCCCGTTCCGCCGGGGTCCCGGGAGATTCCCGAAAACCCACCCGTCAATGCCTGTGTTGCCCCAAGTTGGCGCAAGATGGCCTCCAAAAAGGCCAAGATGGCCCAGGATGGCCTCCAAGATGCCTCCAAGACAACCAAGATGGCCTCCAAGACGGCTGAGATGGTCCCACGATGCCTCCAAGACGGCCCAAGATGGCCTCAAGATGGTCTACGACGCCCCAAAAGGCCCGCAAGAGGCCTCCAAGACGGTCCAAGAGGCTCGAAGAGGTCCTTCAGGAGGGCCCGACGAAGGCGAAATCATTGATTTTCCTTTGGATGTTTGAAGGATTTTGGCATTTGCGCCTTTTCGGCTTTCCAGCGGCCCAAGACGGCCCAAGAGGCCCCCAAGATCGCCCCAAGAGGCCCCAAGGGGGCCCCATGGCGGCCCAAGTGGCTTCCAAGACGGCCCCAAAAGGGAGCCGGTGTTGCTCCTTCGGTGCCTGAAAGGTGTTGGCATTTGCTTCAAATCGGCCTTCCGACGGCACAACCCCCAAGGTCCCAAAGACGGCCCAAGAGGCTTCCAAGATGGACCCAGGACGGCTCCCAAGACGGCCCAAGATGCCTCCAAGACGCCCAAAAGGCCTTCAAGACGACCCTGAAGCGCCCCAACAGGGCCCCAAGACGGCCCAGAGAGGCTCCCAAGACGGCTTCCGACGGCGTCAGACAGGCAAGGAACGCCGCTCCCAGAAGACCCCAAGAATGACTCCAGAAGATCCCAAGAAGTCTCCTCATCCTTGCCCTCATCCTCCTTTTTGTTTGCCTCTCTCTCTCTCTCCTCATCCTTCTCTTCCTCCCCCCGTGTTTCCCGAAGGGCTTCCACAACGGTTGGGAGAACTCGTGGCTCAATTGCGAGGCCCGAACTTTGCCCAACGTTTGGCCACATAGGCGCATCATAAATGGCAGGGGACGGCAACGATTCGCCGTCGACGTCTTCGATTCGCTGCCCCCCGTGGCTCGCAAGGGAGTGCCTGGCGTGTTAGAGTATCGAAAACAGGTTAGCCCTGCCAAAACAGGAAGGCTCCCGATCGGGTCTCGGCATGTCGGGCCGAGACCCGATCGGGAGCAGGGTACAGGAAGAACCTCGGAGCGAGAGAACACTCTGACCATGTCCGAGATTGAACGCGCAAACGTCGTGTCAATGTTGGCCATGGTCCACCCTGGTCAACGTCAAGTTGCAAAACATCCTCGCGAATCGGCAACGGCCAACATAGACGATGACCAAAATCGGTGTCGACAAGATCCCGTGACAGAGTCAACATGCTTCGTCTCTCGACAAACTCCTAAGACGCCCCCAGAGAAGATCAAAAAAGCCGTCAGGAAACTCCGAGAAGGCCAAACTCATTGCCTTCCGCTTGCTTGGTGTATGGGGGATTGAAGCAATATCACCTGTTCTGGCTTCCAACAACCGAAGACGGCCCCACGGGCGCTTCGAGATGCCCCACGATGGCCCAAGAAGGCCCCAAGAACTCCAAAGAAGGGCCCAGAGGTCCTCAAGACAGCCCCAAGAGGACCCCAACATGGCCCAAACGACCTCCAAGATTGCCCTACAGCACCCCAAGAGGGTCCGAACGGCCCAGACACGCTTCCAAGACGGCCTCCGAAGGCGTCCGACAGGCCGAAAGCCCCAAGACGACTCAAGATGCCCACAAGAGGCCCACATAGGCCCCTCAGCAGGCCCCCGAACGGCTCCAAGAGGACACCAGGAAGCCCCAAGCAGCAGGCCCCAAGTGGGAGCCACCTCCTCCTCCTCGGGGGCGGTGGTTCGCCGCAGGCGTCTTCGATACTTCATCTCCCTCCTTGTCGTCCTCTGTTCCCCCCATCCTGAACGGGAGAAAGGAGGAGGGGGACGCTGATTGTGGGTCGGCTCTGGGCCCCAGAACCTCCTCGTCGAGCTGCCGCGTCAGCTTCACAAGATTGTTTTTCATGGTCTCCATCTCGGAATTCCTCTGCTCGATGACCTCGGTTGCCTCCACATTGCTCTCTTTGGACTTGGCGAGGTTCTCCTCGTACTTCTTGATCTCCTGCTCCCGTGTGATCTGAAGCACCTCGAGCTCCCGCCTGAGCTTGGCATTCTCCTGAATCGGTCGGCCAGGCGCCCAATGCCAGTCCTCCGTCTCTTCCTATTGCTGCTCCAGCTCCTTCTCCTCCTCCTCCTCCTCTTCCTCCTCGTCCTCCTCTTCCTTCTCCTACAACACCTTCTTCCCCTCGTCCTCATGGTCCAGCTCCAATTCCCCCAGGAGGAGAAGGAGGAGGGGCTGTGGTAGCGGCGCGCGGGTGGATTTCAAATTCCCGGTGGATTCGATGTGTTTTGCTGCTTCGTGGCTCTCAGCGGTCGAACCAATGTTGCAGGAGGCCTGCCAAGGTTGAGGGGGGAGAGGAGGACCCCTGAGATCCGACATCATGGAACAAATCTCGACATCGCGAAAAATGCACCAGCAGATCCCTCCTCGGAACCCTCGACTCCATGCAGATATTTGTCTCGAGTCGTATCGATCCACGGAGGCCCTGGGGTCAGTCTATGACGCATGTCGTCCTTGTTTCACGCCGACCATGTGTCACGGTCCTCCTCCCTCCAGCTGCCTTCCGCGCAACAGCTGGGACCTCAAATTGTCGATCGGGACGATCCAGGCAAACCACCCGAGGCTCTCGGCGAGGCGCAGCCGCTGAAAAGACCATGGGGGCCGAAAACATGCGAAATACTCCCGACCCGAAGCAAAGAAGGGACAGTATACCAAGGTGCAAAAAAACATGGACAAAACACGTGTGACTGGATAAACTCACACAGACACACACACAAACACACGAACACGAAAACATCAGGGGCGGGCACGTCGGCGAAGGGAGGGGACTGCGGCGACGATCATCGCGCTGGGCTGAGCCTCTCGCTCGGGGAGGGGAGAATCTCGCAACAGGCCGTCGCCTCCGCGGGCCTCTGATGCTTGTTGCCCCCTTCCCCCCTCCGGCTCCACACAGCGCAGACGGAGGAGAGATGAGATCACCCCGCAGGGAGGGATGAGGGAGCAGATAAGGTCGGGACGGACGAAAAGGGGCGGAAGGTTAGAGGGATGAACGATGAGGGACAAGAGAGGAGGAGGAGGTGGAGGAGGTGGAGGAGGTGGAAGAGGAGGGAATTGTCCGTCTGACACCGCATCGAAGAGGGAGGGGAGGGAGCGGGGCGAGACCGCGAGGGCTGCCCTTCGAGCGTGGGCGAAAGTGCGAGGTGGGATCCTCAGGCGGCCACTCCTGGGGCGCCTTGCTGGGCGCAATCAAACGCGATTGCGCATGAGTAAGGGGAAGCCGATTAAAGCGGGGGCAGGCCCAGGGCTCAGCCGGATTCAGCGAGAGTAAACCAGACTGCGCCAGAATAGGCTGGACTTGACCCAAGGATGTACCGGCGCCAATGCCGAATTCAACCGCCCTAGCAGGTGATGCCTAAGGATCCCCAACGCAACACCCAAACCGAAGAAAGACAATTAGGACCGTGAAGAAAAGAGAGAAGATACACAACTACTGCCACAAGACTAATTGGGGTCCTGAGGGAAACAAGTCCTGGATACCCCGTGGCTTTCCATCGATCGGCTTTTCGTCCTCAGTTAGTTCGCTGACGGTCCCAGGGGCCACGGGGAAAATCGACAACCTCTTGCCAGAATTATTGAGTGAACCCAGCTGTTGCGACGAGGACGCTCCAAGAGCCCAAAGCATTCAAATCAAAACAAAAAAGAACACTGCGACCTCGTCTCTCGACCCGCTTCCCTCGCAGCGCAGAAGCCCGAAGGTCCCACCCCATTTCCCTGAGGACCCGATGTTCATCCCGAGCAGAGCTTTGACGGTCCTGGTGCCCCGCGAGGGCCCGCAAAGGCCAGAAAATGCCGAACACCTCCCGTCCTGATGTTTGCTTCACGGCGCGAGGGGGTCGGGGTCCCGTCCATGTCGAGCGAGGAGGAGTTCCCCAACCACCGCCACCCCCGCAGGCCTGCTCCAGCTGTGCCTGCGGGCCTTCCGCCATCGCGACAGCAGCGGTGGGCCGGAGAGCGGCAGGAAATGGGTGGCCGGGGGAGCGCGAGAGCAAAAGCCTCGCGCGGCGGCGCCCGCTAGAAGCCTGTGGAGCCGGAGGGGGCGGCGGGTGAACCTCCATGTGCAGGGAGGCAGGAGGGAGGGAGGGGAGGAGGGGAGGCCTTGACATGATTTCGTGGTGGAGAATTGGCGACGCGCTCAAGGGGGTAGGGGGAGGTGGCAAGGCTTCTCAGAAGGAGGCTGTTCCTTAGACGGCGCTGGCCTTACATCTATAGATAAGGCCCGCGCCTTCTAAAAGCACGGGTGCTGCTAAGAGGCCTTCTCCCCATCCCCCTGCCCCGCTCTGCGCGTGGCCGAAGGAAGCACGACGGAAGGATCGGTTGGCACATTCTCAATCTACGGGGGCCCTCGGCGGGCCCCAGAGCCGTCCAGAAGCTTCGCAGGATGAAGAACCAGTCCCGGGGAAGGGGAAAGCACTTGCAGACCTCTGGGGAGCCACTCCGACGGAGGATGCCTGGGGAGGGGATAGGATCGGCTAGGATGAGGGCTCATGGTCAGCCTGTGAGAGGGCCTCACCACTAACTCTGTGAGGCAGGCAGAAAGAAGATAAGGCCGGGAGACGGAAGGAGGTGGTGGAATCGGGAGGAGGACGACGACGACAACGACGAGGAGGCTCTCCCCTCGCACCCTCCGGGGGCGAGGTGTAGGGGAAGGGGGAAGGAATCGGGGGAGGAGGGGGGAGTACGCAAGGGAGGAAGGGAAGGAGGGGACGGCCCCCGAGCACCAGCGTCCAACGTCGAAGAAGCCACGATGGGAAGTCGCTCGACGATGTTCGGCCCCCACTGGGGCGTTGCTGGGAACATGCGGCCGCTCCTCCTCCTCCTCCTCCTCCTCCTCCTCCTCCTCCTCCTCCTGGCCTCCGCTCTTTCCCTCCCCGCCCTGGCCCATCCTGTTCCGCACGTCCATTGACAGCCGCCTCTGACCACATGACAGCTGGCGCAGCTGGGCGGGCCTCCTCCATCCCCCCTCCTTCTCCCTCCCTCCATCCCTCCCTCCGCTCCTCCCCTCAGCGCGCCAATTCGCGTGCATGGTGAGAAGCAGGCCGAGGAGGATAAGGATGGGGAGGACAAGGGGGAGGGGGGTGAGGAGGGGGTGGGACGATGAGGATGTAGACGGACGGAGGAGGATGCTTCTGGAAGGCTCGGATGTGCTTCACGGTTGTTCGACGGCGTTCAATGGCTTTCGAAGGCTTTGGCTCTGAATGCGTTCCGAAGATATCGGATGTAACTTCTTTCCCGAATGACACGGGAGCTTCGCGGAGGGAAGGGAAGGATGGCCGAAGGATAGGCATGAGGATGGCAACAACAACAACATAACGATGACAACAGCAATTAACAACAGCCATCATAGTATAGTCTTATCGTGCTTGCTCGCGTAGCACTCGAATTGTGCACTCGGAACCAAAACATCTAATATACCCGTCCTGCACCTAGCGATCGCACACACACACACACACACCATGTGGGGTTTGCTTCTCCGAGCAAATGGTTACACCAGGGGGGCTCTCAAACATTATAGCTCCAGAGCTGGAAGTGGGCGCCCGTGGGCACCTCGCGCCCTGTGCGCTTGGTGGGTTTGATGAATTTTCGCCTGTTGGGCGCCCGTGGGGGCCCCGTGCGCTGGCTGATTTCTCTGGGCGTTTGCCCGCTTAGTGGGCGCCTCGTGGGCGCTCCGCGCGATGGCGGGGCGTTCCGCGAGCCTCTTGGGCCTCCTGTGCGTCCCGCGCGCTGGCCTACGAGCCCGGATGCACACAGAGCGAAGGATTGCAAAAAACACAGGATTGCAAAACAAAAAAAAAAAAGGATTGCAAAAAAACCCGAAGGATTGCAGAAAAAACCCGCCGACGTGCAGTAGGCACTGCTCGGGAACGGCGAGAGGGTCTGGCTCGAGGAGGGTGGTTTTTCGACGGCTGCCGGGGCCCCATCGGGTCGAGCTGTGGGGCCTCGGGTCGGGCAGGAAGGGGGCTTCGGGTCCAGCGAAGCCAACCTTGTCCAGCAAACATTGGTCCGCCTCCTCCTCCTCCTCCTTCTCCTCCTCCTCCTCCTCCCTCCTCGTCACTCTGCCTCCTTCTTTGTTGTAGCTTGCAGGGGGGGGCTTCAGGTCTAGCGAAACAAGCCTGGTCCAACGAACGCCTCTGGCGGCCTCAGAGCTGCGCAGGAATGCCGTGAGGCCCTCGGGTCTCTTCGGGTTTTCTGCACTGCGAATGGAACATCTTCTTAGACAGGCTCAGACCCCCGGCCCTGGGAACTCTTGTGCGTTCCGTCGTTCCCTGGCGTGACACTTCTGGGGGGCATCGGGAGGGCGGTTGGGAATCCACACCTCCAGAATGGCCTAGGATGCTCGGAGGGCCCGTTCTCGAGCCATTGGGGGTCTATTCGGCTGTGTTGGAGGCAAGAAGACCACACGTCATCCGCATGCACGACACTGCACTGAGCACGAGTGGACCTTACTCGACGTGAGTGTGAGCATGCGAGGGCCTCCCGCCGCTACAGGGCTGCACGGCCAGGGGGCCAGGCCAACATATTGACCGATATACCGATATCTTTAATATGTGAACGTCTGTGTATACAAAATTCGCCGGCCCAACGGGCCAGGGCGTGCAAAGATCTCCGGCACCTGGTTAACAGTACTTCTAGTTCGCGCGCGCGGGGCGGCCCCTGGGGGTCCCCGGACGAAAAATACCCCGGCAAGGTCCCGGCAAGGTCCCGGCAAGGTCGGGTCAGAGATGCCGGAGTGCTGTTACAGGGCCCCAGGACGGGCCAAGAGGTCCCCAAGAAGCCTCCAAGACGGTCCAAGAGGGCCCCGAGACGGTCAAAGATCGCCCGAAGACGCCCAACAGGGCCCCAAGACAGCCCAAGAGGCCTCCAAGACGCCCCAAGGGCCTTCCAAGAGGCCTCCGAAGAGGGCCCCAAGAGGCCAAAATCGTTGATTTTCATTGTTTTTTCTATGTTTTTTGCGTTCTGGCTTTTTCGGCTTCCGGACGCTCCAAGACGGCCCAAGAGGCCCCCAAGACCGCTCCAAGACGGCCCACGAGGCTCCCAAGACGGCCCCGGAACGGCCCAGGAGGGCCCCCAAGACGGCCCAAGTGCCGCCCAAGACGGACCAAGAGGCCCCAAGACGGGCCCAAGAGGGGCTCAAGAGGGGAACCGAGAACTGAAAAATCGAGCCCTCCGCCCCAGAAGGCGCCCAGGAGGCCCCAAAAAGGCCCCAAGAGGCCCCCAAGAGGCCCCCAAGACGCCCCAAGAGGCGCCCAAGAGGCCCAAAAGAGGCCCCAAGAGGCCCCAAAACGGCCCCCAAGAGGCCCCAAAACTCGGCTAGCCCACAACGGTGCGACAATATGGGCCGGCGGAATGAGCGAAGCGATTAAATAATTATACACGTATACACATATATATATATATATATATGCATATATATATATGTATGTATGTATGTATATATAAATGTAGATATATGTGTGCATACATATATATATATATATATATATATAAGGTATGGATTCCTCTTCCAATATGTTTACAAACCTGGGGGGGGGAACCCTCCCCCCCAAAAAAACTTCACCCCGGGATCTGGGGTTCTCGGGCTCCCTTGGACGTCCTTGGAAAAGGTCACCCGGCTTTCCGGGTCTCCACAATCGCCTTGCCAGCAGACCCAGAGCGATCCGAGGGTCATCAGAAAGGCTCAAGGGAGGCCCCAGACAGCACAAGAGCGCTCCACGAGGGACTCCAATTGCGTCAGGACCGCCCAAAAGACCCCCAAAGCACCCCGAAAAGCTTTCCAAGGGGCCTTCAAAGCACAAAAATCGTCCCATTCCCTTCGTAAACCTTGCAATTTTAGCATCTTCGCCTTTCGGATTTCATCAGCTTTCAAGACGGTTTCAAAGCCCACGAGATCGCCTCCAGACGCTCCAAAAGGCCCCCAAGAAAACTTCAAGACGGCCGAGCCGGGCCCCACGATCGCCCACGAGAGCCCCAAGACAGCCCATAATGGAACCAAGAGGCCCCCCAAGGGCTCCCAGCACAGACCCAAAAGGGCCATGGGAGGTCCACGGAAGTGCCCAAGATGGGTCCAAAGGGGGCTCCGGCGGGCCCAAGCTCCCCAAGACGGCCCAAGAAGGCCCCAGGACGGCCCATGAAGGCGCCAAAACGGCCCACGAGGGCCCCGAAAACACCCCCACGATGTTTCCGGATGCCAACAGAAAGACCCCCAAGGCACCCCAAAAAGCTTTCCAAGGGGCCTTCAAAACACAAAAAGTCGCCCCATTCCCTTCGTAAAACTTACAATTTCAGCATATCCGCCATTCGGATTTCATCAGCTTTCAAGACGGTTTCGAAGCCCCCGAGATCGCCTCAAGACGCTCCAAAAGGCCACCTAGAAAGCTTCAAGACGGCCGAGCCGGGCCCCACGATCGCCCACGATAGCCCCAAGACAGCCCATAATGGAACCAAGAGGCCCCCCAAGGGCTCCCAGCACAGACCCAAAAGAGCCATGGGAGGTCCACGGAAGTGCCCAAAATGGGTCCAAAAGGGGGCTCCAGCGGGCCCAAGCTCCCCAAGACGGCCCAAGAAAGCCCCAGGACGGCCCATGAAGGCGCCAAAACGGCCCACGAGGGCACCGAAAACACCCCCACGATGTTTCCGGATGCCAACAGAAAGACCCCCAAGGCACCCCAAAAAGCTTTCCAAGGGGCCTTCAAACCACAAGAATCGTCCCATTCCCTTCGCAAAACTTACAATTTCAGCATATCCGCCATTCGGATTTCATCGGTTTTCAAGACTGTTTCGAAGCCCCCGAGATCGCCTCAAGACGCTCCAAAAGGCACCCAAGAACACTTCAAGACGGCCGAGCCGGGCCCCACGATCGCCCACAAGAGCCCCAACACAGCCCATAATGGAACCAAGAGGCCCCCCAAGGGCTCCCAGCACAGACCCA